ATATAATATTTTATTATTAATATTTTAAATTCGAACTTACGTATAAGGTACTGATGAGCCAGAACCTGTATTCTTGTAAGCTTTGTGGGCCCATGAAGACGTAGAATCAGTTCCTGAGGATACGTGCAATTTCTTGCACTCTGCCAACCTCTTACTGTTGGCCCGTGAACATTAAGCTCTAACGACGAGTGCCTATCCTCCTCGCCTTGAACATATAATTCAGAGTCTGAATAAATCTTAAGACATAAGTTCTTCTATTACGAATTAAGATAGTACTAAAATTATCCTAGAGCACTTTTTCCACTCTGGTTTAATGATTAAATAAATTATATATACATTATTCGATGCATTAAATAATAATGAAAATTATTATTAATTATTCTCTAATTAAAATACATCAAAATTGCTCTAGCATAATTTGATTACCTTTCTTGATAATATAAGAGTTAAATCATAAAGTTAACTGGGATTAATATAATGAAATAATATAATAATACTTCAAATCTAGACTTGCGAGTTTTCCATCAATCGAAAATGTCGAACGAGCATGAGGAAGTTCTTACTATATATATGTTACTTAATTATTGACGTACATAGTTACATGTGGTGCTATTATTACTCAAATGTAAATATTTCATAAATTTAATACTTATTGTTAAATATTTTCTTGAATATTTTTTTGTATATTTTCATTCACGTTTGTTATTTTTTAGGATTTCGCGTGCACTTCCGCGAAGAGGATTAATATTCGATGCCACTGTTTAAAATTTTCAAAAGTTAAATCAACTCTTCAGATTTTCAAACTAGATTTCTAGACAGAATTAATTCAAGAGTCAGAATTAAAAGTCTTTTGAAATGACGCAATGTCGTCACGCAATACCGCAGTTTCGCATACAATTTATGATTCACATATTTCACAGAATGAGAGTGTACGTTGTTCCGTGTCACTCCGCCCTTACAGAACATTATCGATGCATTTTTAAAATAATTCCGTGACTTGCAGCACAGATTCGCGTCGATCGCGGACACGTGCCAAATAATTGTTGAGGGAACCACAGGCGTGTCTCACGGCAGAAATCAATGCATCCGAATATATGCAATGATAAAAGCATTAAGATAAGGCAGTCTTGGCGAGATCCTGGCGATCGCGACGAAATAATTAAAATGCCAAGAGCCAATGCGGATCTACTAAGCCGCAAGGGAGTTGAATTTGAAGTCATACAACGAGAAGAAATTTTTGTGGATAACAAATTGAAAATTTTCTACGAATAAAAAATTTCTTTTTTGCATTTTCTATTTTTTATTTATAAAATATTTCTAGATATATATTATAGTTAAATTGCAATTACGCTAAAGGCAATTTCAACTTAAAAACTAATTAGAATCTGATCTTATAACCACAATTTTGGTTATCTCAATTAGTATTATAATGATAGACTCAGAAAATTTTGATTTGTCCATTTTCGATCAGAATTTCTATTAATGCAACCTCTTTTACAATATATACAAAATATTCATTTATGTGAATCATTTTTTGAAATATTTCAATAGAATATTTTAAAAATATTTTGTAAGTACTTGTAAAACAGTTTAAAATGTTGCCTTAAATATTTCACAAAAATATTATGGAGATACCGTACAAATATTGTAAAAAAAATAATATTTCAAAATTTTTTTTCTGATTCCCTTTTTTTGATTTCCTGGATATATTAATATTTTAGAAATATTTAATAAAATGTTTCTGAAATATATATTTTATACTATATAATTAATTCTTATGAGAACGATCACAAATCACTATCTTTTTTTTAGATAGAATCTAGAATGCCAAAATATAAATCGAATTTAACAGAATATCCACTTAATTCTGCTATTTAAATGCAAAATTTAGATCTTTGTAATATCCAATTCTTTCTCAATCATCGCTCGAGGTTAGTTCGCGTTTTATTTCGCAATTGTAGATCTGGTCACTCTTACTCGTAGCATAGACGACGTTGAATCCGACTTTCCTGGGCATGTTGCGGGGGTGCTGATCGTTGGGAAATGGCAACCAATAGAACGAACAGCGTGATAAACGACTGAAATGTTGTACCACGAAGCGCACGGGACGAACGAACGGAAAGGAACGGAGGGATACGTCAAAATCTAAAAGGCACAGCCATCTGCAAGCTCGATAAAGGGGGAGCTTGCAAGTTTCACCCCGGCGCGCAGGCCACCCCACTTGCGCATCCGGCCGCGGCGAAGCTTGCGACAGAACTGGCTTCGCGCTGGAAGGCTGGAACCGCCGTCTCCGTCTCCAATAATAGGTTGAGATTTTCCTGCGAAAAGGCATGCGTATATTCGTGAATTCGCAAACACGACGCAGATATCGCAATGACCGCGATGTTGCTATGAAATTGATAGAGATTTCCGCGAATGTTGAACATTCTCGAAAAGAAGGGGTGAATTACAGAAATTTAATATGAATATTTATTTCCTTGTCGTGAAAGAATAAAAAAGAAGAATCTTCTCGTAACAATTAAATAGCTTTCCGCGTTCTCCTTTCTATTCTTGTTTATTTATTTTAATTCTCGCGAGAAGCAATGCGGAATTCAACACACAAATTATCTCTTTTCCACGGCCATCCATAAAAATATATTTCTCATGTAAAATTGTTAAATGAAATTTATATGTAATCTTTTCCAGTTCTATTCTTGATATTTTAATCACTATCTTTATTTTATTGATATTTTTATTTTGCGTTTTAAATTTTTTGAACATCCGAGTTTATTTTGAAAAAATTATTCAACACAGAAATAAATTTCTTCTGTGTGTTTTTATTTGAACACACATTTATTAAAGTTTACTCTTTTTATTTAGTAAAACTAGAATTTTTTTTCGGCAAAACTTGGCATAAATTAAGTGAGAAAGTTGTGTAATATTTGAGAATCCCTGAAATATTATATTCGTGGAGCATGTAATGTTTGTTTACTATATATAAATACCAATATTCTACTGATGTAGTCTACTCATGTCTCGCATTCTACTCGAGTCCGTTCGAGTCGAAATATAGACTGTAATTTCGTAATGGATCAATAAATGGAGGCTGCGTGACGTCAGAGGGTGCGGCGAGGGTGGACGAGCCCACAGGATGCGTCTTATACGCATGCTCCTCTTCATCGTTCACGGCCACGTGTATAGGCACGTGTTATTTTGGAATAACTTTGATTATTTTCGTGAAAACGTTCTAAAAGCGTTATAAAAGAAAATATCGCATAAAGATATTCGTGTAACGGAATTAAATACCTGATATATTGCAATCTGTATCAATGTTTTGGTGATGCCATTTAATGGTGTTTATGACGAGAATGATATTTCGTGTTTGAATTGAAAAATTAACGTATAAAATATATAAAAAATGATATTTTAATAATTTATTTTAAAATATTTATAACCTTTTATATTATATAATCTTTTAATATACATTCACATAATTCCTTACTTTAAAGAAGAGTAATTAGTTAGAATTCCCCTCCCCCCTCATCTCAAATCTTTTTTGTCCGATTCTTTCGTTTTGAATAAAAATATCTCGAATAAGTATATTTTTATTAAGATTTGAGGTGGAGGAAGGGGGGAGGGAGTGTATTCCAAATAATTACTTAAAGAAATAATAAAAAATTAAATTTTTCAAGAAAAACTATTTTTTCAACAGAATATTAATGACTAAATAATATCGATAAAAGGAATGTACTCTTAGAAACATGATCAAATGTTATGTTTGTTACTTTTGTTTTCACAATCTTTAAAAAATCTTTTTAAGTTGATTGTACAATTTTGATATTCTTCTAATATATATATATATATATATATAAAAAACAATTATTTTGAGTTGTAATACTTTTGATGTGTATTTGTTAAAAAAAATTTCCTGTTGACATTTCTGATGTTTATTTGTATTATCAAAAACATAATTTTGATAATACAAATTATGTGACACTTTGTGTTTTGTATATTGGATTTTTAATGTTAATTAAATTAAGGAAATTTGAAAAAGATGTAGATGAATCAACAATATAAGAATTATAGTATCTTTTCCTTGTAGACATTTCCAATTACGTAGTAGCAAAAAGATACAAAAGGCCTTTTGCAAATTGAAAAATCTCTGAACCACCCAATTTAGATTGACCATAGACCCTATCGACGAATGTAATTGGCACTTCTCCTATTATATAATTGAATTGTCTAGCTCTGATTATCATTTCCATTTGGAATACATATCCTTTAGATACACAGGATTGTATGAGCTTTTCCAATACATCCTTTTTATAAAGCCTAAAATTGTAAAATCACATATTAAAGAACACATTGGAGACTATATTATGAATATTTTGTAAGAACACATAGAACTAAGTCTACAAAGTCTACAAAGAAATTCATTACCTAAAACTACCCGTCAAGTCACTTGCGCCAGGTCTCAATAGAATCTGTGTTAAAAAATTTGCACCTCTACTGACTAACTTCCTTTTGAAATCCCAGCCGTAAACACCACCGCCTTGTGCATATCTTGTACCACTAACTACGTCCAGGTTCAAATATCGTTGTAATTCAGCCATTTTTGGAATAAATTTGGGCTGAAATTTAAAGAATGTAAATAGAAACGCTTATCATTATTACTTCTCCATTTATTCATTAATGTGATACTTACATGATGAGATAAATCAGCGTCCATGATAACAATAAAGTTTCCAGTTGCATATTTAATTCCATGCATGTAAGCAGTTCCTAATCCCAGTTTTTTCTCTCTCGGTTTTAAGATTATTTTATCGTCGCCATAGACATGTTGCAATTGCTTAGCCATATTCAGAGTTCCATCTGGAGAACCATCGTCTATCACAATAATTTCATAGGCAAGCTCACTGTAACATTGTAAATTACAACAAAACTCTTTAATTGTACAGCTTAAGTTTATTGATTTTTATTTTATTTTAATTATACATAAATTTTGATCAATTCTAGGTTATGTCTAGTTACCTCTCCTCCATATATTTCACAATGAGCCATATTATTATCGGCAAATTTTCCACTTCATTATAAGTGGGAAGTAAAATCGAATACTTGTCATTCTTGCACAATTCCTTTATATTTTTCTTCACCTCTTCTTTATTTACCATTTTGATGCAGCTGTTTACAACAGTTTACAAGAGAGCTGGACGTGCCGGAAAACAAACTCCAAACTTCAAATACTTCAACTCGACAATTGGTAAGACTGTCAGAAATGTCAAAAACAGATGTGTAGACACGCATGATCATAGCGACACCGCTGATATTTAAAACCGCGATTTTCAAATCAATAAACTGTAGCAGAGTATTATATTTTATATAATTCTACAAGGTATTTTATGAAAAGAGACAAGTAGAAAGAAAAAAAGAATTATTTAAAATTATAATGTTAAAATTAGAAGAGTGATCATACATGTGAATCAGTTAAGAATGTTTTTAAATAATTTTCATTAATTGATTATGTTGAAATCGAAATATGTTCATTTAATAATTTTTTCTAAAAATATTATTGAATAAATGCAACATAAATAGAACTTATTGCCGTAAAATATAAAATATTTATGCACAGCAAAATTCATCCCATCTTTTATCGGAAAAAGTAATGAAAAGTAATGAATTGAATGAATATAATTATACAAGCAAAATATAATATAATTGAGATTATGGAGAGAACATAAAGAGAATTTTCCAGAAATTAACATAAATATTTACTTAAACATACATTACATATCTAAAAAAACATTTTATTTGTAAAGTGTAGCGTTGTACATGATTATGTAATATTATTTTTAATATAAATTGTTCCTTCTCGTACTTCATTTTGATATATTCTATTTATTCTATTATTATATTATATATATTTATTTTATATAATTACATACTATTTCTCTACTAAAATATTATAAAATTATCCGTGTGAGAGAAACTCTTTATTTGTAGCATTTTATCGGAATTATCAAATTTGTAAACAGATAATATAGAATTAATAAAAGATGTAATGATAAAAGCGTTTCTTATACTTCGTACTAATTAGGCACTTTGTAAATTTTGGTACTTTGTAAATTTTGGTACTTTGTAAATTTTGTTATAATTTCTCGCTGTTATATTGATCAAATTTATCGCATTTCCCTATTGATCATATATTTGTCTATTTCTTGTAATAGCTCTATGATCACCGATATCAGTTATCGCCGCAATAATCCTACGAACATTCTGCAAATATCCGCGAAGATACTCTCACGTATACATGTTCGTGTATGCATTCGCACACAAATATACATATTTCATATATTTTGGTCCATTGGCCGTTTCCGCCGTGTGCGACAAAGGTCGGCTAACCAGTAGTGCCGGTCGATTAAATTTTGGCACCCTGGACAAAATATTGGGCGAATGCAAACATAATTCTCACAATTTAATTACCTCATCGAGTATTTAAAATATACGATCAATAAGTATACATCACATTGTGAGTGCAAACGTAAAATTAGTAAAATAACTAAAATATATCAATTTTTTTTTCATTGCATATTAATTTTATCGAAAAATATAAAAATTCCAATGTATAAAATGTATCCGTTCTTGACCTTTATAAATATTACATATTTAATTTTATAGATTACATATCCATTGTGTAAATGTTTGAATTTACCTGCTTGACGATATAAATGCGAATTATACAAGTTTTCTGAAACATTATAAATTTTTATATCTTTTTGACAAAAATTGAAAGTTATATATACGATTTGACATTTTAAATATCAATTTCCATATCTTTTCATACATATATATATTTATTGGTTTGAAGGTTGTTCCAAGGGGTTAAACCTTCTGGACGGCACTGTCGGTAATGCACCCCTCATCCCGCAGAGCAGCGTGAGTGTTCACGCCGACGACCCCCACCACCGATCCTCACTCCACCGCTGCCGACCTCGAGATAGCCGAGGAACAGCCGCCGTTCCGAAGCAAACGACGCCGCACTCTACGATCAGTCGTTCGTAGAATCGGAGTGCTCGTTCATCCGTTCTCATCTGATCCGGTCGACGTGCATTTTGTGTCCCTGCGAATTCACATACGACAGCGTCGGTACGTGAAATCGAGATCACGATCTTTTCATCCTCCCGAGGAGACGACGGTCCTCGACGAGGAGAAATCTGCGAAAACAAGGATCGGAGCAGATTTTGCAAAATCGCTAGTGAATGGTTGAGTGTATGGGTGTATATGCGTGCATGCCTGTGTCTGTGTGCGTGTGTGTGTGGTGGAACATATCGGTAGTGATCGTGCGGTGTGTGCGTGCCAATTTGTGGGCGATTTAAAATGCACCACCCTCTCTGCGCCAACGGAAGCTGAGAATTCGACAAGACGCGATCATTGATGGTCACCGATGGTCGCCCGGACTTCGAGGAATTAAACGATCAGCTAGGAATTAATTTTTATGACAATCGATTACGAGAAGAACGAACAGCAGCTAAGATCTAGGGCAACGATTCCGTTTGCGTCTTTGTGCTAATCGTTCTCTCAAACTTGAAAGGCCCAGCTAGCACGGTGTAGCTCTGCGTGGATCTTTTTTTGTCGATTACTCCGTTTCTCATATGGTTCTCATATGATATTTCGTTCTTTTTTGCACTTTCGACTTCTTGTCACGCCGAGATTCTCTCAACTTTTCCTCTTAACGCGTCCGCGATTTTTTTTTTCGCTCAGGAAAGATCAGCCGTTCAGCAGCGTGAACAAGTTTATGTTCTCGTCTCTTCTCACGATCGAGAGATATTGTCCCTGGCGAGTATAAACTGTGTCTTCGTCGCTTCTGGATCTTCAGTCATCCGCGTAAAAATATTTTCCCGCGTCTCGTTGCATACAAGCCGAGTTACATGATGTAACGCTGACGTAAAATGCGGGCATATGTCTCGATATGATCGACTTCCGCGAAAGACTCATCGTCCGATGTCGGATTAGAAAATAATTTCGGTAGGTCCGTTGCGGGAGAGGAGTTGACGTGAGGAGAGATGGTGAGGATTTAGCGGGGGTCCACGGATACCATCGCCACCATCGCGGCCGTCTGGCTAGCCCCGAGCTCCGGATAGTCCGGATGGCAGCATGGCGCGCATCCGCGCGACGCGCGTTGCGAGGGGTAGATTGAACCGCTCCGCACCCTGCGATCAATAAACTCGCCAAGAAGGAGCAGCCCCGTGACGAGCCGTTCAACTCCGCCACATTTTGCCTCCCTCCTCTCCTCTCCTCTTCATCCCCTCTCGCGCGATTACTTCTTCCCCGCCTTTGCCCTCCCCCCGTTCACGATTCACCCGCTGTTCTTCAACCGTAACCCTTGCTATCAGCGATTCAGCACGTGCACCTCCACTCCGTTCCACAACGAGATAGCGGCATAGCGCTTTCGCGTTCTGCGGATTATCGCGGACGAACGGATGCCAAAGAGACTCCATGCTTTTCAGAATTTTTCTCGCTACCTTAATCGCCTATTCTGGCTGTTGTTGTTAGAAGAATAGGGGTTGTAGAAAATATTTTTCAGAATATTTATCAAGCGAAACGGCATTCTTTTAACATTTACGAACAATTACGTACGGTGTTGATGACAATCGATGATTTCTTGTGATCGAAATGTAAATTTAGTTCTGATCATCAAATTCTGTAAATGTTTTGCTACTAAGAATTAAACTGTTAGGATCTTTTTTGCGTTTATATATTGCGTTTTAATATTGATTTTATAATTTTGATTCTAAGTGTATATATTCATTTATTGTAAATATAAATACAGCGTATAATCGAATGATAATATAATAAATAAAATAATTTAGAATATTAGAAATGTATAAATCTGAAAATTCTTTTATTTAAAATAATAATGCAAAATAACGTTGCAAAATGTTAACAGAAAAGTAACTAAAAAGTAGCGATTTCTTTTTAACTGTAACTATAACTATTATATATAGTTACTTTTATGGAGTAACTTTTTCCATTCTGCTATTTTTGTTAGAAAATAGCTGTTTCATTTCAACTTCTCCAATGGTTATTCTATACATGAAATTTGCAAATTTATAATAATTATTTACAAATTAAAATTTCTCACAGAAGAATTGTTACGTAAAAATAACTACATTTAATGTAACAATTTTATTTCCATGCTAGCGTGTGCCGGACGTATCAGTATTTTCAATCTTAATTTTATTGTAAATCCTTTAATAATCATTTAATCAGAACTGATTAATCTATCAGATATGTTTATTATTATGACCGACTAATCAGGGTTCAAGGCAACAAGATGTCAATCTTGTTGCCTAATCTAATCTAGTTTTACTAGCAGAGAACGATTAATTTCATTCACCTATTACGCAAATTGTTTAATGCATGTTAAATTGCCACAAACACACATTGAAAGTGATTGTGCTTTCAACAGTTACTGATCAATTGACCTTGAATTAATAATAAGTAAGAGTTTTTTCGTGTTTATCTATCTTAACTTATGATGAAATAGTTAAATGTGTGTCTCAAAATAAATATTCTTATTTCGATTATTATTGAAATATTATTGAGGCAGACCATCGGCGATGATCTTACTAAGTGTGTGTATTCTGTATACCGTTCATTCAGTGTATTTTATGTGAAATCAGGTGAAAATCAGTGCACTCGGAAGAGTCACAATAAGGATGTGGCGAGATCCTCCAGGCGGAGGGTATAAGAAACCCATCCACGTCGTCGCTATGTTACTGCTAGCTGTTATCCTGACATTGACAACGGGTGAGTCAACTTCATACGAAAAGATCTCATTCACTTCGCGTTTCTCAGCATGACTCGACGATAATTATGGAGAAACATTGACGCATGAGGGTCAGGCAATGTACGTGAAAAATCGAAGAAAAGTTTACGTATGTAAGAAGGACAAGTCACGACTTTTGTACGTTAAACAGAAGCTCTAAGATGCTTGCTGAAAGAGAGTAAAATCGCTCCGTGTGAATCGCCTTTGACGTAAATATAATAATAATAATAATAATAAATGCAGATTTTAAATCAATAACGATAATGATTGGACATCAAAACGATATTTTTAATATAATTTCTAATACGCATTATAGAAATAAGAATTACATTCAAAAATTAATTA